TGTAAATATGTTAAATGACCTTGGGCAAAAAGCAGATGACAACGAGCAGGAACAGATGGGAACTGCCAGTACAGACAGATATGATAAAGAATAAGGTCAAAGGAAAATGCTAGAAATTAAAAATATGGCAACAGAAATGAATAATCCTTCTGATCAGCTAGCTTATTGGAAGACGGTGCAGAGCAGAGGAAAGAATCAGTGCATCAGTGACCAACATGCAGGTAAGTAGAAACTGTTAAAATTGAAATACCAAAAGTAAAAGAGTGTATTATCCCATTCTCTCATTGCTATAAAGAACTGCTTGAGACTGGGTAATTTATAAAGAAAAGAGGTTTAATTGACTTAAGGTTCCACAAACTGTACAGGAAGCATGGTTGGGGAGGCCCCAGGAAACTTACAATCATTGCAGAAGGCAAAGGAGAAGCTGGCATATCCTTCATGGATGGAGCAGAAGGAAGAGTGAGCAGTGGGAGGTGATACACACTTTTAAACAACCAGATCTCATGAGAACTCACTCACTATCATGAGAACAGCACGGGAGAAATCCACCCCCATAATCCAATCACCTCCCACCAGGCTCCTCATCCAACACTGGGGATCAGAATTCTACACGAGATTTGAGTGGGGACACAAATCCAAACCATATCAAAGAGTGAATAAAAGAGAATGGAGCTTGCAAGATTTGAGGGATGCTATAAAATATAAATATTGAATGTAAAACTAAAACATAATATGAAACATAGTATTTGAAGCTCAAGAAGCTGAAGTAAAATTGCATGTAAAAAACGATTTGAAGATAGAATAGCAAATGTTTTTCAAAATTGATATTACATCAATTCACAGGTTAAGCACTATGTGTATGCTGAAACTGTACATGGACATATCATAGTGAAACTGCTGAAAAACAAAGAAAAAGAGGAAATAGTAAAAACTGGTGGAGAAAAAAAGACATTATATTCTTTAAGGTGGAATAACATATAAGAGAGTTGCTGATTTCTTACCAGAAATGACTGAAGCCAAAAACTGTTAGAATGAAATCTTTATACTGTTGGAAAAAAATTATGCATAAAAATTTCTATATTCAAAGACAATAATCTTGTAAAAATAAAGGTATGTTTAGAAAAACAAAAGCTCAAAGAATTTATCTGCAGCAATGCATTACAAGAAAGACTAACATAAGTTCTTCAGGCTATAAAAAGTGAATATCTATAAATCTAATACACATAAACCTAGAACATCAGAAAGAGCAAATATGTAAGCAATTATAAAGAACATATTTACAAAAATTTCTAAATCTACATCTATGTTCATGACTTTATATCGATATTTATATCTATCTCTTTAAATATCTTTAAGATACTATTGACTGTTTAAAGCAATATAGCAAAGAACTGTGATATCCTGTAACATTTGTATAATTAAATATATGATGAGAGTACAAAAATCAGGAAGGTAGTAATTCAAATTATATTTTTGTTATATTCTTATTGCTTACAAAGTAATACATTATTTTAGAAGCTAGATTGTTATAAAGTAAACATACATAAGAGAAACCACAAAATAAATAACACAGAGAAACATAAATAAAAATGAAGAGATAAAATGGAATACTAAGATATCAGTTCACTCTAGAGATGACAAACAAATACCATTGTAGTAGACTTAAACTCAACCATAGTAATTATTACATTAAAAGTAAATATCATTTGGTTCTTCTAGAAAGTTTACTCACACAGAGTAGAAGTTCAAGATATTTTCTCATAGTAGCACCTGTGAATAACAAACGTGAGGGTCATTAGGAATAGCAGGAAAGCCTTTCTATTGCCAATGTATTAATACTTGTAAAACTAGAAAGAGCAGGAAAACAAATTGCATAAAAAGAGCTTTAGATTGTAAAGTATCTTTTTCATCACCTTTTAGTAAGAATGTATGCTAACAGCATGACTTATTGTTGATGATATTAACTTTGATTACCTGACCAAAGTAGTGTTGAACAGCTTTTTCAAGTGTAAAGGCATTCTCCTCTCTTCCATACTGTAGTTTTCGAAAGCAAGTCACGATTTGCTACAACCCACACTCAAGAGAGAGTGTCTTAGTCTATTTGGACTAATATAACAAAATATCATGAACTGAGTGGCTTAAAAATAACAGAAATTTATTCCTCACAGTTCTGGAGTCTTGGAACTCTTAAGTTCAAGGTATTGGCAGATTCAATGTCAATACTTACATATTTGTATTTGTATTACGCTGAACATAAGTTCATACAGCTGTCTCTAACTGTAATCCATTACCACGTGGTTCAGTCTAGTTTCCCCTGTCCTTGCCTACCTGAAACTGCTCTTCCAATAGGAATAAACCTGCCTCACAGCATCCACCATGTATTTACATATTTGTTCAACCCTACTCTATATATACAGTTTTTTCAGAATTGTTAACGCAGGCTACTGTGAAAAACAACTAGAGTATAGTGTTTACCTACAGTTCCTTTTGTTTCTAGTCTTACAGTTTCCAATCAAAGCACCATTTCCAAAGTTACTTGTCAGCTAGTTTTCTGCTCACCCTTTTCAGTGAGGATTTTCCATAAATTTGTTATACAACTAGAATCTTTTTGTCCCCATATTCACTGCACACAATACATTCCTCTGGTTAATTCTTTTAATTTGCATAAATTAAGGTTTACTCTTTTTGTTGTACATCTTTTTTTTGTTTTAAGACGGAGTCTCTCTCGTTGCCCAGGCTGGAGTACAATGGCGCAGTCTTGGCTCACTGCAGCCTCCACCTCCTGGGTTCAAGCAATTCTCCTGCCTCAGCCTTCAGACTAGCTGGGATTACAGGGACCCACCATCATGCCTGGCTAGTTTTTGTATTTTTAGTAGAGATGGGGTTTCACCATGTTGGCCACGCTGTTCTTGAACTGCTGACCTCATGATCCACTTGCCTCAGCATCCCAAAGTGCAGGGATTACAGGAGTGAGCCACTGCGCCTGGCCCTTTTGTGGTACAACTTTATGGATTTCAATAAACGCATAGCGTTTTATATCCACCAGTACACTGTAATACCAATTAGTTCCACTGAACTGAAACATCTTAGTCCCTCTCCTAGTCAAACACTCTCCCTTCCACGATCATTTGAATACCCTGATCTGTCTTTCAATCCAACAGTTTTCCCTGCTCAAAAATGTCATATGAACGGACTTCAACATGTAGACTTTCAGACTGACTTCTTATGCATAGCAACATGCACTTAAAGTTCATCTAAGTAGCTCCATGAGTTAATAGCTTGTTTCTTTTTATCACTGAATAATATTCCATTATATGGACATACCAATGTTTGTTTATCCATTTATCTAACTAAAGGATATTATTTCAACGTTGCTTGAAATTTTTGTTGATTATGAATAAAACTGCTAAAAAATTCCTCTGCATGTATTTTTCAGATATACATTTTCAAATCAATTGTGTAAATATTCAGGAACATGCTTGCTACATTGGATGATAAATCTAAGTTATATGTAGTAAGATACTGACAAACTACCTTGCAAAGTGCCATTTTGTGTCCCCACCAGCAATGAATGAGAGTTCCTGCTGCTCTGAATCCTTGCCAGGTTTGGGAATTGTCAGTGAAGAGTTTATTTAGATCTTCTGCCTTGTTATTTAAGTAAAAGTTCTTTATCAGATATATTATTTACAAATGTTTTCTCCCAGTTTATGACTTGTCTTTTCATTCTTGCAACTGCATCCTTCACAGAGCAAAATATTTTAAAGTTTTATTTAAAGTTTAATTTATCATTATGTTCTTTCATGAGTTATACTGTTAATGCCATACTTTAAAACACATAGTCAATCCCTAGGTAATGTAGATTGTTGTCCTATGTTTTCTTCTAGATGCAGAATTTCTTTTTTACTCTTTTTGTTGTAAATTTTTATGTGTTTTGACCCTATTTGTGTAAGTATATTTTTGGAATCTCTATTGTGTTCCATTGATCACTATTTCTATGTTTTTGTTAATAGCAGTTTTAATTACTGAAGTTTAATAATATGTTTTAAAATCAGGAAATTGGAGTCTTGGAACTTTTTCTTTTAAAAATTGTTCTGATTATTTTAGTAGTAGCTTTACCTTTCCATATAAATATTGAACCATCTTATGAACAGAACATCTACGAAAAAACTTGCTGAGAATTTTTTTTTTTTTTTTTTTTTTTTTTTGAGATAGAGTCTAGCTCCGTCACCCATGCTGGAGTGCAGTGGCATGATCTCGGCTCACTACAACCTCTGCCTCCTGGGTTCAAGCGATTCTCCTGCCTCAGCCTCCTGAATAGCTGGGATTATAGGCGCCTGCCACCATGCCCAGCTGATTTTTGTATTTTTAGTAGAGATGGGGTTTCACTGTGTTGGCCAGGCTGATCTGGAACTCCTGACTTCGTGATCCATCTGCCTCAGCCGCTCCACTTGCTGGGATTTCTATCGAGTTTCTATTAAATTAATAGATGAAATTGGGAAAAATTAACATCTTAACATTATGGGATGTTCCAATTCTCTCTTTTCATTGCTGAATATAAAAAATTATTTTAAACTTAAAAAATACTAATTATAATAGCACAAAAATTGAAGCACATAGACATAAATATAGCAAAATATGTTAATATAAGTTTTAAAGAACAGAAATCAACAAAGTATGTTCTCTGACCATGTGGAAATTACAATATAAATCAATAACAGAAAGATAATTTTGACAAACAGCAAATATGTGAAAATTACTCAGCATACTCTAAATGACCATGAGTCAAAAAAAAAAAAAAAAGAAAAAAGAAATCAATATTAGGAAATACTTAGAAATAAATAATAGTAACAATGTGAATTTTCAAAATGTGTGAGATGAAGCTCAAGTGTATACTACAAGGTAATTTAGTAACAACATTTACAAATCAAAAATACATGCAATTTACAATGTATGCCTCAAACTTTTGAAGTTAGAAAAAAGAAGAAACTAAAGATAAGAGTGGAAGTCATTATACCGGCAACTTTGAAAAGGTCTGTACAGTCAATGGTTTCCCTAGGGGGCTGTGAAATAAGACCACCAGTGGTCTTAAAGTTGAAGTGTGCTTCAGGGCCAGTGCATATTAGTGGACAACACTTAGCAGCTGTGGAGGAAGATGCAGAGTCAGAAGATGAAGAGGAGGAGGATGGAAAACTCTTAAGTATATCTGGAAAGCGGTCTGCCCCTGGAGGTGGTAGCAAAGTTCCACAGAAAAAAGTAAAACTTGCTGCTGATGAAGATGATGATGATGATGATCATGATGAAGATGATCATGATTTTGATGATAAGGAAGCTGAAGAAAAAGCACCAGTGAAGAAATCTATACGAGATATTCCAGTTAAAAATGCACAAAAGTCAAATCACAATGGACAAGACTCAAAACCATCATCAACACCAAGATCAAAAGGACAAGAGTCCTTCAAAAAATTAGGAAAAAACTCCGAAAACACCTAAAGGACCTAGTTCTGTAGAAGATATTAAAGCAAAAATGCAAGCAAGTATAGAAAAAGGCGGTTCTCTTCCCAACGTGGAAGCCAAGTTCATCAGTTATGTGAAGAGTTGCTTCTGGATGACTAACCAAGAGGCTATTCAAGATCTCTGGCAGTGGAGGAAGTCTCTTTAAGAAAATAGTTTAAACAATTTGTTAAAAATTTTCTGTCTTATTTCATTTCTGTAACGGTTGATATCTGGCTGTCCTTTTTATAATGCAGAGTGAGAACTTTCCCTACCGTGTTTGATAAATGTTGTCCAGGTTCCATTGCCAAGAATGTGTTGTCCAAAATGCCCATTTAGTTTTTAAAGACGGAGCTCCACCCTTTGCTTGGTTTTAAGTATGTATGGAATGTTATGATTAGGACATAGTAGTAGCGGTAGTCAGACATGGAAATGGTGGGGAGACAAAAATATACATGTGAAATAAAATTCAGTATGTTAATAAAGTAGAAAAAAAAAATGGACAAAAAGTAGAGACTGTCAACAAAGTAAAAAGGCAATACTTGAAAAGACTAGTAAAATTTGTAATCCTCTGGAAAGAGAGAAGTTACAAATTACCAAAATAAGAAATGCAATTATGGATGCCATTTTTCAGCATTACATTACTAAGAAAATGCAAAAATAACTCGGTGTGAATAAGTTTGACAATGTGAATGGAGTAGAACAATTTTTTGAAAGACATAATTGGCACAAGATATAGAAAATCTCAACAGTATTATTTATATTTAAAAAATTAAAATTTTAATGGTGGAATCTTCTTGCAAAGATAACTCTAGGACTGTTTTGCTTCACTAGTGAATTCTAGGCATTTAAGAAAATGATAATATACTAATTATATTAGAAAATAGAATAAAAGTAAGTATTTCAAACTTATTTTATTAGGCAAGTACATCTTTGATTCCAAAACTAGACAAGGATACTCAGAGAAGTATTATAGACAAATACCTCTCATGAATAAGAGGTACATTTTTCTTTTAAAAATATTAGCACATTGAATGCTACATATAGAACATATTACAAGAAAATATGGCTTATCCCAATAATATAAGATTCATTTAAGATACAAAAATATACAAAAATTATTTAGTGTAACCCATTAATAGAAAAAAGAAAAAATATTATGTGGTCCCTTCAGAATATTAAAAATATGATTAAATTTAATATCCACTGAAGAAAAAGTATCTCATCAAACTAGAAACAGAAGGACATATCTTTAATGAATGAAGTTATTTAAAATTTCTGTAGCTAATATCACACTGAATATGAAATAGTGCGTTTCCCCCCGAAATTAAAAACATAGCAAACGATTTTCCTCTCACTTTTTCGTTTAAGATATGAGGAGACACTGGCTAGTATATACAATAAGTTAAGGAAAAGAAATAGATATATAGATTACAAAGACAAAAATAAACTTTCTCCTATGACCTTTTTTGTGTGTAGAAAACTCTAAGGAATCTACCAAATAATACATATAGAACTAAAAGTAAATATACCAATGTTGCAGAACACAATGTTAATACCCAGAAGTTAATTCTATCTTTTAATACTATCAATTAAATATTGGAAAATAAAATTAAGGAAAGCTATAAAAATATCTACTAGGGGCAGTAAGTGAATTTCACAAAAATTCAGGTCACTAAGTGCTATGGTCTGAACGTTTGCATTCCCTTTATATTCACATGTTGAATCCTAATCAACAGTGCAATGGTCTTAGGAGGTAAGGCCTTTGAGAAATAATTAGTGCATTATAGCAGAGCCCTCATAAATTGCGTTAGTGCCCTTATGAAAGAACAGCCTGAGCACCGCCTTTTCCCTTTGGCCGTGTGAGAACATGGCTAGAAGGTGTCCTCTATGAGGCAGAAAATAGCCTTAAACAGACATTGACTCTGCTGGCACCTTGATCATGGGATTGCCCAGCCACAAGAACTGTGAGAAATAAATCTCTTTTGTTTATGAAGTATCCTGTTTATGGTGTTTTGTTATAGCAGCACTATTGAATTAAGATACTAAGTTAATATCAAAAAATCACCTGAATTTCTATGCATTAGCAATGACCAATTAGAAAACAAAATTTTTAAAAGAACAATTTACACTAACATTTAAGAACATAAAATACTTTATGGTAAGTTTAATGAAAAATATGTAAGACTTCTTCTCCAAAAGCTCATTGATTAGACTCTAAGAGTATTTTAGGCATAAAAGAAAAGTGAACAAAGTCCTTTTTATTAAGGTAAAAATGACACCGGTAAAGTGGAGAAAGGAGCAAATACAGTATTTTTGGAATTACCAAGTAGTTCCTTCACCTCCATATCATGGTTCTTCAGGTCCCAGATGCGAAGAGTCTTACGGCATGACACAGAGACCAAAATCAAACCGCCACTGGGTGTAAAGCTCAGATCTGTCACAACATCTTGGTGGCTGGAAAGATTCAAAAGCAGGAGCCCCATCTGCACCTCCCAAATCTTGATCTGCCTATCACTGAGTCCCATAGCAAGGACCCCGCAAGAGACGTCTGGCACTTGGGGATGGTGGCATGCCCAGAGCTTCCTGCTGGGTGGGAAATAAGTAATGAAATAAAAAGGTATACCACGTGTGTGGATTAAAGTACTTCATTTATGAATATCTTAATTAACCACAAATTGATATATAGATTTAATGCAATCTCAGTATCCTAGCAAAAATTTACAAATAAATTAACTCACTGTTCTAAAAATTTATATAGAAAAACAGCAAAATAATTGTGAAAAAAGAACAGACTTAGAGAACTTACTCTAATTCACTTCAAGATTAATTATTAATAAAATATATAAAAATCAGGATATTGTGATATTGGTGAAACAAAAGACCATAAATGGTATGGCACAGAATAAAAAGTTAAAAACAATTCCCGATAAAAGCCTCAAATGATTTTGATCCAGTAGCCAAAGCATGTCAATTGGGAAACAAAAATTATTTACAACAAATAGTGTTTAAACAACTATATACATATATACACACACACATATATACATATTCATATATATTTATATATATGAACCCTTGACTTCTATACCACATTTGAAAATTAATAGAATATGAATAATAGACCTAACATAAGAGCTAAAAGTAAAAGCCTTCTGTGGACAAAAACAGAATATCTTCATAACATTATTTGTAGATACTCAAAAAGTATCACTGGACTTTTTGGTATGTTAAATGAAATATTACATTGTTTTATAAAATAGAAGAAGGAAGAGAAACCCTGAGAGGCCCTTTTAAAACAATATATTCTAAAAGATGTAATTTCTCCAAAGACATGCCCAAAATATAATTGTAAGAAACGATTTGTAAATAAACATGAATCCATTTAATAACAGAAAATACAAATACTGGTTTGAAAATATATAATTACAATATATGAAAGTGTGCACTGATGCATTTTTTTAAAAGAATGTAGTGATTTAATTAAAATTTGATCTCTGAAGATACATATAAAACTTTTTATAAATGAACAGAATTCATTTCTAACAGAATTTGATGAACTGTTACACGACTAAAATACTAGTAAAGAAAAATAATGTTAAATTGAGGATTTATTATTAACATTAAGAAAATTAGGAATAAAAAATTATTGAAATTAAATGAGATGCAGATAATTATCAGGAAAATAGGGAATATTATTTAAATAATTTTATCTGGATATACAAAATTAAAAAGAAAATAACAATGTTTCTAAAGTTGTAACATTTTCAAATATTAAGTGGAGTCAAACACAATAAATTAAATAATCAAAAAGGAAATAAAAAAATTATTCCAGAATCTAGTATGTAAAGGCTTTGACTTAGTGCACTATGAATAGCAAAGGGCATAAAATATATCTCTGGTATCAGAAAGCTCAGATCCTAACTGAAAAGATAAAAGACACTCATAAAAGAAAGGCTTTGTAAGCAGCACATGACCAGTATTCCATGATTTGTGTGCACAAGTGCTGCTGGAGATAAGATCAATCTTTTTGAACTGTGGTATTTATTAGTTAGGAGTAAATATAAATAATAACATAAAGCTATGAGTTCACAGATTTATTTTTTCTTTCTCTTCCCTGAGTTTAGGAGTAAAGCTTACTGTAGTAGCCATCTTGATTTGTTATCAGTCAAAGGGAGGGCTGAGGCTGCCAAACTGTAGCCCTGAAACAAATCCAGGGAGCAGCATCTATATCCAAATATTTACTCTGAATCATGGCAATGAACTGTGTTCTTAGGATCCATTCCAACAAAGTAATCCAGGAAATCAGGTAGCCAGAAAAAACAAAATTTGTCACACTGCACAGAAATATTTTTCTTAGAGAAGACAATGGAAATATAGGCTTTGTTTATCACAGAAATAGCTGATACATTCTTATTGTGAATTAATTTTATTCTTTTCAATTTGCAATAGACATGGAATACACAGAATAGAAGACAGAAGAATGGTATTATAATGTTAACTCTTTTGTTGACAAGTTGTTGGAATTTCTGAAAGTCACTTAACCTCCATAAGACAGTTTATTTTCCTAAACAAATAGAAAGTAACAATCTCAGATTGTTATAACTAAAATTTAGATAAGATAAGCAAATGAAAGCAAGCATATATTCAGAATACCCAGTATATATGGAAATATTTCTTGGCAAGAATTTTATTGGGGCAATTTTGTGATATTATGCATTATCATCTTGTTTGTTCTATCTTTAAAACAAGCAATATTGTACTTGTTCCTATTTCTCCTTAAAGGTTTAGTAACATCAAAGTGGATTAATAACCTGAAGTATTTATATATATAAATTCAGTGATACATAATATAATGCTAAAAAGAGCAAGTTGTTTTTTATCTTGGAAATTACTTTCTGCTGTAAATAAAGAGAAATCTATGCCTTGGCAGTTTCTGTTCACCCATAATAAAAATATATGCAATGCTATTTTATTAAAATAATCTTCAATATATATTCTATCTTAGTAATATCTATCCGTAAAAGCTATTGATATCTGTAATATACTTGTCATT